TAAAGGTGAAATAAAGGAGAATCATTGGGTAAATGATGGACTATGACAGTAATCAAAAATTTGATATATTGAGAAGATAAAGTCATTGTATGATTAATTGTAAAGTTTCATTGAAATAGTATATTGCAAAACATGCGTTATTGCTTGTTTTTATGGTTCAAGCAATTCTGTCTAATCCTCAAATATATAATCTATGCTGTAGAAACGAAGAGTCATGTGGCAGACATCACCAAGTATTATTTATCGCCTTTGCTTTCGTCTTACTTACGCATTGTTTACACCTAAACACATTGCTCCGGAAGTGCTAATGAGTGTCAGCCACCGCAGAGTAGCAACTTACGTTGAGTGACCCCCCGTGAAGAGTCCCAGTACAAAGCGAATTGCTGTGAACTGGATAAGATTGGTGACGAAATACGTGGCTAAGCTCAGTACACCCGTCATAGCTAAGCAAATCACCAGTGGCTAAAATTAAGATATTAGTGATATTTTGTTAATGAACTTCGAACTCTACTCGCCTACCTTCTTTCTTCCAAATGATGAACTGATTTGGCCTGATGTCAGAGATCCTATCATAACGCCAAGCATTTGAAGCGAAGTGCTCCTTCGTTCCAAATATCTGTTCTCGCAGTGGATCCCCCACTAAAAAAATAAAAATTTATTTTCAATTATGTTTGCGCATGAACGCATATTTTAGAAGCTAACATCTTATATCAACTTCCCATCTCTCATCTCCTCTTCAAATCATTACTTATAAGTATTGTCATTCCTTTCAGGAGCTCTTCCACTTTCTGAGTAATTTTGGAGAGCTTGACGTTCTAAATGCTACTGGGGATTAACAAGCTGAACAGTATGCAGATAAGATAAGGTCGGATAAGGCTGAGCTTTTTTGTTAAAAGCGGTGGAGAGATGCGTCTATACCATCAACTACTTATATTACGGCTACTCGCATGTAATTTACATTTAAATTTGGTTTTTTGTGCCTTTGCGGAAACTTCGATTTATCTTCTTCCCCCTCCTTTTTTCCCACTTATCTGATAAAGTTGGTAAGCAAAAAAGTTTCAAAGCTAAATTTAGCAACATATCCTCTAAACATTAAATTGGTTGAAAGTCCTTTCAATTAGATTGGTCAGTTTTACTTCATCGTAGCTTTTTTCGATATCTTGTGATTGTTCATGATGCATCATCCAGGTATACTAGCAGCTTTATATTAACAGGAAGACTCATCGATGCGCCCTTACTTGTACTTTGGCTAAGAGTTGAGGTAAGTCCAATTTTAAGACGGCCTTTTATCAGAAAATTGCTATTTGCTTCAGTAAAGCGTTAGTTGTTGATGCCACTGGATTTCAACAGATCTACGCCCACTATTTACGGCTCATTTAAGACCACATACTTTAATTATCACCTTCCAAGGAGTTGTTCCCATAAAAAATTGCCACAAATCTTTTCCTTCTCAATGTCTTTCTAACAATCTCCGTTAACTTCAGTAGACGATCGTTTCAAAGATGGTCACCATTGTGGAATGGCGCTTTCAAATTGGACCATTCCTCCAGCACTCCGCTAGCAACAGAAATTTGTGTTCGGTGAAGGGAGTCAAAATGCGAAAAACACTCAGGGGGACACATTTTGCCCTTCAACGGCGGCGCTTTTCGCAGCATGACCAAGGAGACCCTTTG